AAAAAGTTTATTATTATTGTCAAAATAATAATTATTTTCTATTCAATTTTATATTTGTAAAGTTATCATCAAATACACATAGACGCAGGGTTGGAAACCTATATAATAAAATAATATTTTTTTTCTCTCTCGCAAAGTTGTATACGTCTTACTGCCATTAAGCAGTTACTACTTTTTTACATTTGATGGTTGGGACGCATGAAATAATTAGGATAAACACCTAATTATTTACGATTTCTGTGCTGCGCTTTATTATTTAAGTGCCTTTTTAGTATTAGGTTAGATCAATCGATCACAGTGGCGGAGCTAGACCAACTCTGGATGTCGGCGACATCAGAATTGCGAGGCCCCTTTTATTATCCAGGTATAAAAGTAATTAAGCTACATTAACTAAAACGACGAAGCATTTATTAAAGTTTTATTGCTAATCAGATTAAAATTTTTTTAAATTTATATCAAATTTTGCACCAGCTGCTATTTTCGTTTCAGTTTATAGCATTACCAATAGAGATAGTCTCTCTTGTATCAACATACTTCTCAAGTAGGTTTTAATCAATTTTAACTTTGAGAAGCTTTTTTCCGTAGAAGCTATACCGACTAAAACTGTGCACATGATTCTGGTTACTATATAAACATTCGGATATGATTAATGCCGTATATGAAACCAAATTGTTCAAAATATTTATTAAGTGCTTTTAATCCACAGTCGGTAACTTTTGGCGTTCGCCACATACGCGCGCCGCCACTGACTGATCATGACCTTTTGAGGCGCCTTTGCTTCATACGCTCCTGCTGGGAGGACTCCATATATATCATTATTTGAATCAGTTAATATTCATTCGTGATATTTTCCGCCCATTTTCAGAATAGTTTTTATCTGCATGTCCATTTGCGATATGCATGTCAAGTCTATTACTTGAGTAGTTAACAAACAACAAAATGCGGATACTTTTTGAGCAGAAGGTAAATTCTTAATAAATATTCGTATGTGTGTACGGTATTAAAGTTTCGTAGAATCCTAAACTATCTTTTTCATTCTTTTTGTTTTGCAAACTACAATATATAGGTATCATAAAGTATTTAATTTCTATTTCTCAGTCAATTATTCACTTATTAAGTAATAGTTTTTCACAATTATCTATTGTACTTAAAACTAATAAATCAGTTTATGACCTTTGTAGTTAACTCTCTCTCTTTTATTTCTTATTTCCTGTTGTTATTAATTACTTTGAAAAAATTTGTATATAAACATTTAAAATAACAACTATTATCTTTCAAAATCATTACTACAGACAATTGAAATTATAAATATAGGTCCAGACATTAGAATTTGGATCTATATTTGTAATAGAGTTTAAAAAATTATTATTTTTATTATATCTCTGGTGTTTTATTTTAAAGTGGATAAACTTTATGAAATTAAAAATATTTTTAGATGTTCCAATATAATATTTATTGATATTGGGTGGTCAAAAGAAACTAGTCATTTAATCATGTATCAAAAACGATCCATCAAAATAGTTTCTCATATACCAATTTTTTACTCTGAATAAATCTCAATTAATTGGTAAATTATTTATTTTATTTGATCAATTGAATAAGATTAAGTTATTATGGTGATACTATTGATTCATTTAAATTTGTTGACCTGCTTTGATATCGTATAAATTGCTTAGGGGTTGAAACTTTTTCATACCTTTAATTGAATGCAAGATCCTTTTTAAGAGAAAGTCTTGCAACTGACTAAGATCCTCTGGAAAGTAAGCCCCCCTTTGCATGTTTATTGTATGTTGTGCGTGCAATGGACAATGTCAACCCAGATGAAAAATTCTTTTTTCATTTTTCTCATAACTGTGGTAAGTTGCATTGGAGTGTATATTCAATCTTCTAGCATGGTTTAAAAATCGGTAGTGACTTGCCAGTAAACGGTCTCTAAAGTTGACAAATTACTTTTTATATATGTAAATTTTTATTTTTTAGACAATGTATTCATTGTATTAATATTTAAAAACCTTTTTTATACAATACCAATTAATATTATTTTCGTTTACATGATTTATTCCACTGGATTGACATTTCTATTGTGTCTTTTATATTGTCACATATTCGAATTGGTTTTCTTGGTATTGGAATTTGTTTATTAATGATTGCTTTAATCGATCAGGAAATATACCATATATTGAAAACTTAAATAATTAATTTATGTTCTTAATGAACTTGAAACGAAACTATAAATATTTCCTACTTGACTTTTGATTAAGTTTTAAATCCAAGAGCTTAATAAGCAAGAAATCTTTTATAAAAAATGCTAAATTATTTGGTCTTATAATCGACTTTGGACTTTTACTTTTAATGCTTAACAAAAGTTAGTTACTAAATTAAAATAGTTAGCTTCAAAATTACTCATAAGTAAGCAAAAATCAAGCTTAACAATAGATAGAATTCACATAATTATTTATGGCTCTAAGCCAAGTTTGAAAATGTGCAGCTCTCTCAAAAGCTTAATTATGCAGAAAAGTAATTGGTTAAAAAATTTGATTTTATAATTGAAGTATTTCAAAACTTAGTTTTTTTATGATGTTGAAAGTAGAGCAGATCATAGTATTATTAAAATTTATTACACAATTACTGCGGTTGTGTTTTCTTATTGCTCAATTACTGATGAAAAATATAAGTAGACAGAAACTATGAAATACTATGAAATAGATATTTCAAAAACTAATAGTACATTTTTGAGCACCACTAACACTGTAAAAGTAAAGCATTTTATGACGATGTGATCTATTGGTTAATTTATTTGAAGTAACTATATCAAAGCATAAACATTAATAAACATTTTTATTTGGCATTAAATATTTTTTATTTATTTTATTTGGATTGGGCAAAAAGTAGTCGGCGTTCTTCTGTTGACTTGAGTTTGTAGTCATTTGAAATGGTTAGTTACATTTAACATTTCTAGATATCTTATTAAGATTTGTGTTTGGGATTGTGCAAAGTAATTTTTAATCAAATATAAGTGAAATTATGGAAAAAAATTGATATTTACTACAGATGCATTCGACTTTAAAAAGTAGTGTGTGTAAAAAAATTGTTTGAATGCTGCTAATGTGTGGTTATGAGATATATAATACGACCAGAAGATTTATTGTGGTATCTCTACCAGCATAAAATAACATTATTTAACAAAATCTTTTACAGTTCGGTTACTAATTCTTTGCGTGATATAAAGTATCATCCCTTAGGCGATAGAGACTAGAATAAATATCATAAACGCATTGCACACGTTTATAACAATAGGAACCCTGTCAACCCTACCTGCTCAAAAAGTATCCGGATTTTGTTCTTTGTTAACTACTCCTTAAGTAATAGACATTATAAAAAAAAAGGTCTATTATTTTTATGTTGGTACACCCTTTCTTGACATATGGTACAAATTTGAGCGCCATCTGTCAATTAGTTTGTTTATAGCAGCTGTTAATGTGAGACTATGGAAAATTCTTGTTATACGCGATTTTTTGACCAAACACGCGCCACTGTCATCGCTCAGGCACCATATTCGGCAGATCTGGATCCGTGCGAGTTTTTCCTGTTCCCGAAACTCAAATTGCCCCTTCGTGGTAAGCGTTTTGAGTCGATTGAATCGGTAAAAGAGAATTCGCCGAAGGAACTAAAAGCCATTCCTGCACAGGCCTACGAAAAGAATATGGAAGATTGGGTTAAGCGTTGGCATATGTGTATCGCTTCAGAGGGAGCATATTTTGAAGGAGATAAAATAAATTTGGATTAAAATTTAAATTTGTGTGTTTTATTTACAAAATCCGGGCACTTTTTGAGCTGGAGGTATAACGCATTATGTTGGAATTTTGAAGTCTAATATATGATGGAACAAACATGTGTTATGAATTATACGAGTTACGTAAATTACAATGATGGAAAAACTTACAATAATTGGAATAGTTACTAAAACTATGGAACTATGGTAGACATCAATAGAGTACCAATGTACGCACATCATTCGAAAAAATAGCGTACTTTGAAGGTGGTACAATAAATCTGATTCCCGGTAATATCTTGATATAATACCATATTTCAACGAACCTTTCATTATTCCATCATTCATTCCATTAATTCCATCATTTTTAACCATTTGGTGATGGGCGATGAAAAGAAGATTATATGCGCAAACAATTTTGATAAAAATGATATGAAACTGCATAAACGTTGGGAAAGCTTGGATTACCAATAAATAATGTGATACTATGTCTTTAGTGATATTGTAAGCGTATTATCCATTACGTTGTAGTTCTGCCTGTGTAAATTGTTGAATTAAATACCTACTGTTAGAAATTAATGCGGTTGAACGAAAAAGCACTGATGGGTAAATTTTAATGCATTCACCATATAGTCCTGACATAATGGAGGATAATGAATGTTGAAGTGTTATTTCATTTAATGTTTCCAAAGCGCTGTAATACAATATCTGTGGTATTAAATTAAAAAATAGTTCTAGGCGAAAAATGGTTAAGTTTTTTATCCTTTTTCAATCGTTTCCGTCGGTTTTCTACTTTAAAACTTTGAAGACTTTAATTGTCTTTAAATATGGTACACATTTTAAATATGTGCGGTGTGATTTAATAATTGTTTAAAAAATAATTAAATAAATACATAAAAACATAAAATTGAATGAGAAATGTGACATATGTTTATTACCGGCAATTTATGCCTGTAATATTTTCACCTGAGAAAATCAACAACCCGTGGTGGGTTCATAAATTAGTCATATGTAAATATGGGTATAATTTTCAAATGAGTCCTTTGAAGCAACAATAACCACAACAACAATTACTGTACAAAGAAAATAATAAACATTTTATTATATTTTCATGAAAAATATATGAAACTTTGTTAGTTTCCAGAAACAACAACAAAAGCGATTCTGAAATTCACTGAGACGGACGTGATTTAGTGTTCTGTATAATTTTTTATGATTAAATTTTTAGAAAAATAGTTTAATTTATTATTTGCTTGGCATACGAACTTGGTTGAGTGTCCTTAAATAATATGCTGATTATTCGAAAGTGTATTCATCATTAAATAAAAACAAAGTGAATCATTTGTTGAACATTAATCAATCTTAAGCCAGTATGTCCACAAATAAAATTCACACTTTGGGAGCTGTCAAAAGACGTTGGCTGTTGGTTTGCCTATTGTCCAGTTTTGCACTTGGTTTACTAAGCACAGCTGGTGCTAAGCCTACAATCACCTTTTCATTACCACAAAGTCTACAAGGCTTTCCTTCCTTCACTACATTGACACAGCAATACATCGAGGACCGTAGTGTACGACAAATGAAGAGCTATAGGTGAGTACATGTTTATTATTCATTTATATAGATTAATTTAATATTTTTCTAAAAATATCTGTATTATAATAGTTAATTTAAATATATTAAGCAATTTTAAAAATATTAATTAGGTCCTTGGACTTTGAACTGCATTTGTGCAAACAATATACTTTTATCTGTCTAAACTATCAGTAATATTTGGGCAATAATTTTTTCAGATCAGAACCCAAAAGTTATTAGATATGCACATTCAAATCAAAATCTTTAAGTTCCTTTTTTGACAAAGTAGGTTCAGGAAGTGGAAGTAGATTAACAAACCAACATCAATTAGCTTAAATGTCAACATTATCAAAAATCCGGTGCATTTTATAAAAATTAAGGATTTAATTGGTTATCTCTTGAGTAAATGCCAATACCGAAATTCCAATAATTAAATCGGTTTTGTAAGAACAGTAATTAGAAACCCCTTTTCTTTTTTTGTGGATCAAAGTTTAATTTTAATTCATGTTGCATGTTGCAGAAAGTAAGCTAGGACCAGACAACTACTATCCCACCACAACTACTACAATTGCTATAATCATCATTGTGGAATTGATGGTCCTATTAAAATATTGACATTCCGTGGATTTCGTTATAATTTAAAATTTTCTGGTATGGAATTGTTAGTTCTGCGGCTAACCTGTTATCAGGAGCCTAACTATAATTACCGTAAATATGAATAGATAGTGGGTGTTTTAATGAAACGTAATAGATTTTCGTTATATTTTGGTTTTTTAGTAATCGTTCCAAATCGTTATTGTTAGTCATTATGTAGAGAGATGGCAACTTCATAGGGGTCAACATATAGAAAGCATACTCAGCCTCTTTAATGTTGTGGAATTAGAATAAAAGATGGAGACGGTTTGGAATGGGGAAATAAGTAGATTAATGATGATGTAGTAGATGAGTCTTATTAGTGCAAACGTCGAAAAATTGTTTGCCTTGGTGTGATACAGATCCGTAGTTGTGTTTTTTGATGGACATTAAAAGAACTTCACAATTTACTACTATTACTTGTTGTCCACTTCATCTACATATATACTTTGTTGCAATAAGATAGTTGTATCCAGCTAACATGTAACAAATTATCTAAACTATATTATGTAATCTTATGAACAAATTTTATCTAAAAATATATTTTACTATTACAGTTAGCATCACTATTGTGTACTGGCTTATAATAATTTCAAACAATTTAAGACAAAAATGTTTTTTCATTATCATTAATTACATTTAAATGATAATATATTATTATTATATGACTATTATGATGTACTTACTAGTTATTTTAACATGTTCACGTTGTATCCAAAGCTTATTGGTATTTTATCTAAACCACCTAATTAATATATAATAGTTTAGTAAATAATTTTAAAAATTTACAAGCGATAAATTTATTAGAGTTTTTAAATTAGAACTAATGGGACACGCTACACAATTACGTGCCTTTAACAATTATTTCATAAAAAATTCCATTCCATGTACGTGACTGTTTCAAAAAATCATCCAGACCGTTATTACAGTCAAGTATTTATATATGCTTTATACTAACTTATTATTGCTAGCCATAATGTATTTGCAAAATTATCCTTTGACATTAAATTAAATGTAATCAAATTAATAAATTTGTAAAATCATTATTGACAGTTATAGTCTATTACACTGTAAGATATAGTAAGCCAATTTCATCCATTTGATCTGATTGGTTTAGCAGTACTCGATTTTAATCCATTTACTCCATCTTACTCCATGGAATATACAGAGTTATTTATATGATAGATGAGACAGTAAACGGACATGTAACTAAGATTTCAATTAAATTTATATTTTAACATCTACTATTATTTATACTTTGCCACCTTGTCATTTTGAGGTAGTTTGCGATGACTTGTCGGGAAGTAGCTGTCAATAATTCGGCTGTAACTTGATGAAGTTGTGGAAGTTCCTTTTCAGTGTTTGAGTATTATCCTCATGCAAACAATCCGTTGCGTAACTCTACGAAAAAATTCCAATACTGGTAAATCGCGAGATCTTGGTAGACAATACACATTACAAAACGAAAAATTACACGTCAAGTAAATTTCTCGCGCGACAAAATCAAAATTCTCGGTCGAGTTGTGTAGCTTGAGGCACTGTTCTGTTGAAAGCCGCATATCTTCCACATCCATATCTTTAATTTCACTATACCATATGATTATCAATCAAAAAATACTAATTATGTGCTTCCACCGAGCCGATCCTATCACATTTCAAATCAAATGTCAAATGTCATGTTTATAAATAAAATGGTCCTTCGAATGTTACATGTGGATTTTTACTATCACAGATTCGACAACTTTGTTTATTAAAATATCCACTAAGCAAATACATTACCATTTTTTTTCAGGAAATTTTTATAATTTTTACACATTGAATGCTTCCATATATTTAACTAACCATATTATCCATAGAGTAAACCTGAAAATGTTGTCTTGGATGATAGTTCTGTTAAACATATGTCACTTAAACAGTGCCTCCAAATCATAACCATGAAATGGATAATCCTTTATGTATTGTGCTTTAAAATAGCACTCTCTGTTCATAAAGATATATAAAACAAATCATTTGTTAAAACTATTGTAAAAGATTATTATAAATTTAATACAAACATAGATGAGTTCTGTTTAGAACCAAGTATTCACAAAATTTGGTTGAAATATATTTGTAATAGCCATATAATATATGATAACAATATCTTTGCTACACTCCATAAGGAGCCAAGTTTCTGCAAATTGTTTGCTTCCATTTTAATTCCTGCTCCTATTGAAGGTTTGCACGGGCCTAGGTGGGAGGTGCTATGACATAGAAGTAGATATTTTCAAAATATTTTTTTAGCACTACAATATTATTACTTTTTGTTATCTCAAAATATTCGAAGGTATAATTGTAAAAATAATTAATGTGAACACACAATAAAGACTACTCTTAAGCCTCTAATAATACCAGAGCAGTGTATAATCACACTTCAGCGAACAAATTATTTGTGTTTTTTAAACACAAAAGAATTCGGAATTTAAATGTTGGTTTAATGTTGGTGGATTCAAGTGGTGGCTAATTCCATTAATTCAATCAGCGCTTTTGTGCCTTAAGCAGATCGTTTCGGTCCAGTTTGTGCCGTTTATCTGCCGCTAGCTCTCAGAACAGTTTATCTGATCCTGCTGATAATGTTCTGATCGTTTTTATATTGCTGGATACTTCTATCTGAAATTAGCTATTTGAAGGCATTTGATTTTTTATCATTGTTAACTATATTCACTAATGCGAAAACCGGTTCTGCAGTAGTTGCTCTTCTTGCCAGTGTGTCAGATTATATATGAATATGCCCGTGAGAGATTTTGCGTTTTATTCCGCAAAGGTAGAATTTTTTTGTGTATTATATGCATGATTTGACAATATTAGCTATTAATGATATATAAATAATAATATTGAAAATATATGAATAGCTTTCTAACGGATTTTTTTTACAGTGGAAAACGTTTAACGAATGATTCACTCTTAATGATTTACTACCATGACTCAACGGTGGCAGTCACGGAATTGGGTCCAGAGAAACTACTACTTAGTTGTGAATTAATCGAAATATAGTAAGTTGCAATTTTTATATAAAACATTTACATTACTTAATTTAATTAGTGTATTTTAATAAAATCTATATGAATTTTAAAGTTGTGTTTAATGAAATGATCAAATATTTTTAAAGGGCTGTTGGTGATCATATAATCAGATTATATAATAACCCCTATGGTCTTATGTGAGTGGTTACAGTTGCTGAGACCTATTCAAGAGATGTATTGTCTCCATCGTGCGACCAGTTAATTAAACAAAATATTTCGTAAATACTTAAAAACCAAGTCTATTTACATACTGTTTACATAATGTCCTGTTCGGTACCATATACCTCAACTCATTAAATGTTTTAAACATTTCATTTGCAATTCTTCTCTGGGTACTCTTAGAATGTTCCATGGATATATGCTCTTGTATAGGACGAGATATATGTTTCAGAACGTAAGTTTGTTGTGTTATATGTCATAGGCTAATATTTATGACAGTTTTTGGTCACCAAATTTTTAATATATCGAGAGCATATATTTATAAGTGCTTGAAGTAAACTCAAATGCAATATTGTAAATGTATCCCGTTCATTTCTATATACATAAGGCATAGTATTCTTTAATACATCTTGTAGCCATGAATAGCGCAATGATTTTGTTTCCATTTGGAACAATTACTTGAAAAATGAATTATGGCTAAATTTCCATATACAATTGTGAACACACTACCTTCTAATACCTTAATAGTACGTTTCCACTAGCTTCGTTAGACCAGTTAACTTACTTAAGACTCAAAAGATTCAGTTTCTTTATTGTATATTTCTTTAATTCGGGATGTTATTTTACAGTTTATGTAGTAATTATGAGCCCAGACATATAATAATACAAAAAAATAAATACAGCTGTGAAAATAAAAACAATGAAGGTTTTAGTAATTAAATAAAATTTATAAATTCGCATGAAAACTTATAAAAATTGTGTATAAAAAACAATTAATCTATGGAATTCTATAGAACTGTTAAATCAGGTCAATGTAGTACAAATTCATACCTGAAATTTTATAGAATATTTTATACTACACAATTCCATTATAAATTTAATAAAACTTTATAAACAATTGGTGACATGTAATGTAAAATAAAATAAAAATATTAACTGTCGCTGAATAAATTAATAGGCGGAAATGTATTTTTAAGCCAACTTTCCATATATGTTGGATAGTGCATATCAGAAATAATAATCACCTGCAAAAATGCTTCCAACGCTTACCTTTAATTAATATTTGGTACGTGACACTATCCGCTTTGCATCATAATTACATATTTTTACTTTTAATCATTTTAAATCGTATAAAATGCAAAATTAGTAATTAAAAAAACCTTAAAATTTCAATGAATTAGCATTTAGATATATCTACCATCTTTTTTAATATTTTTATTGCACTTCTTAGCAATGAAAATGAAGGTAAAACGCTTTTGGAGAATCTCTCAAAATATAATCGTCCATTGATGATAACATTTGAAGAAATGCTTAAACTAATGTCACAATGTGAACGAGTAGATAAATTGACATATGAAGCGAGAAATCGTGGTAAGTCGGCAGACTCCACGAGCACCGCCAGCACCAACACGGCATTGAGTTTGGCAACAAACATATTTCCAAAAAGTCCATTTTCTATATTAAGTGGCATAATACCAGGTATGTATAATAATATTTTTTATTTAAATAAATTTATTTTTACGTTATATGCTGCAGGTACTAAATGGTGCGGTACGGGTGATATTGCGGAAACATACGCCGATTTGGGTACTGAAATGACAATGGATCGTTGTTGTCGTCAACATGATTTGTGCCCTGTAAAAATACGCGCTTATCAAAAAAAATTCGATTTAATGAACGATTCTATATATACAAAGTGAGTTAGAATATATGGTATAAATTATTGAAACTAAATCTTTCTTTAATATTAAAATCTTACAGATCACATTGCATTTGCGATGATATGTTATTTTCCTGTCTCAAAAAAACTAACACATCGGCATCACAACTTATGGGCTCAATATATTTCAATTTGGTACAAGTACCTTGTTTGAATGGTGCGAATAATAAATATTCATTTCGAGCGGCAAAAGAAGGTTTCTAAATGATGATTTAAAAATTTAAATGATCATTAATTGCAATTCCTGTTGTTATGATCTTAATAATATAACTAACATTCTGTAAAATGTTTGTTAACTATTGTAATTTAGCTTCTTAGTTTGTATATTTGTTGTAAAATATTGTTGCATATGGTAGTACTCTAATTTTTTTTGTACATGTTAAGTTAAAATTAATTATATATGAAATATAATATTATTATATGAAAATTATTATAATTTAAAAATTTCTATTTATTTCAATAATATAAAATTATTATTGCCTATTTTTATTTGAAGCTATTCTTTTTTGCAGCGATATCTGTTATACATATTTTTACTTACGAGTACTATATGTAATATGCCTTTTTTGGGTGCAATTTTACAAATGCAAATATTTGCATTCATTAAAGGAACCTCATGAACTAACTTTCAATTCGTTAATCTTGTGTTTCTAAATAAAGCTGTAGTTTATAAGCTCGTTCTAATTTAAAGCACGGCAAGTGGTTTGGTAAATGTCACTTAAAAAATAAAAGGTGACAAAAAACCTGGAACTTGAGCACGGAAAGTTTATGCAGCCGTGAATACTTGTGGAGTAAGAAGCGATTATTCATCGCTTCTTATTTGACAGGTACGAGTTCTTATTCTGGCTCTTGCAGACCAAACAAATTATATACAGACTATTAACAGCCAAATTTCAATAAATTGATATAAAATTTTGTTGTTGTCTTTTCATTTCTATTCGAACCCTTCTAACTTTTAAAAAAATATATCTTTTGCTGATATCGATAGAAATCGATGCTATGAACATCTAAAATCGATAACACTGGGTCATGGTTTATGTGCATATCACGCGGTTTAGATGTACTATAGGTATTTCCTGCTGTCGTAAAGTATTATACTTATTTATTATGCCACAAACGCATTAAATTATTCACATTAAATTTTATTTGAATTTTATACTAATAAAATTTGTTTGATTTGATTTCTTGGCTAACCATATAGTTGTTTCGGGTACTCCCAAATACCCGACAATGTCTTTGAAAAGACTTTTTCGAATTTAATTGCCTATGTATAAATTTTAGACTGCAAGTACTTGTACCCTGCCAAAACTTAAAGCCTGGCTAAACGTCATACTTGACTAAGAGGCTCAATCACCCACTGTCCAAGTATTATATACTTTTAAAAGTAGATTTTAGACTGCAAGTACTTGTATTCTGTCAAAATTTAAAACATGACTAAGGGGGCTAAGACTAAGACTAAAGACTAAGTAATATCTACTTGCGGGCCACACAGATGACTACTTCAACTGCTATATGAGCCCTCCTTCCATGGATCATCTATCGTATCCTTTCTTTGTATCGTGTTTACATTCATACTTACTACAATGGATCAACATCAGCTAGGTCAAATACAAACGTGAACTTGTAGTTCTCCACACAGATGCAGTATCTTCTTTCAGACCACGGTTACATACCAATATAGGTCTTAACTATCCTCCACCTAATATCTACAGGGAAGAATAACGTCTATCTCGTGCATCAAGCAATGTTCTATTCCAATAGAGATCAGGGTAAAGCCATTTACTACATCATCACTTCTCACGAATAAATATATCAATTTGCAAAGTGTGCTCAACTGTAGTTATACTCCTCATGTCACCTTTTTGTACTCATGTCTCCTTGTACATAGCCTATTTATTTTTGGATCTAATCTATTGAAGTGGCAAAATTTCTCCGCTAGTTTCAATTAAATCCCATATATTCCTTATTCATTCCTTACTCCAAAAAACCTCTCTTCTACTCACATATCTAGTACCTAACTCATAGGTATATTCGTATTTTTTCCTTTCATATCTCCTGCAATATATATCTCGTCAAGCTTTAATAAGAACGTACTTGAAATGAGTTTTTAAATAACACATTCTAGTTCGTTGTTTTTTCAGCAATCTATTCACTTGCTGTATTATCTTAGATGGAGCGCATAAAACACAATTATATTAAATTGCAAACAATTTCATACACTTGTGTTCCGAAATTTCACTTCTACTTTCTATAGAAATTATGTATATTGGACTAAAATTAAGTCACTATGATAATCTGACATCAAAAGAATTTTAATCGTTTAAGATGGCACATTTAGATGATGGTAACAGGGCAGATTACTTTATACATTTTTAGGAAACAAAAACATAAATTTAAAATTATGTTTAGTTTATATATATTTTTAGTAGGTTAAATATTTGATTGCACAGATTACAATAGATGGTATGATTTTTCCTTTTACATATATATGATTAACAATTTTAATAGATTTCAATCTCTTATACCGAAATGCTAAAAAATATACGAAAGGTAATTTAAATAATTAACAATTAGTTTATACATATAAAAAGAGATTAACATAATTTATAATATTCTTTAAACATATATGTATACTCCTAAATTCAATTACAAAAATTTTGTTTTTTGTTTATATTTAATAGCAAAATGCAAGTACATCATTTGTCTTATTGTTATTTTAAGGCATATATAAATTAAATTATTTTGTTCATTGTTGTATAAAAAAAAACACAAAATACAAAAGACATTTCATCCATTGAACTTCTAAAAATAACTTTAATAGCCCAAATACTGTAAAATAAGAGTATAATTTTTTTTTATATTTTAATAAACATTGTCTTTCGAGTAAATTGGAAGGATAACGTATATAATTAAAATTAACAAAAAAAAAACTAAATTAAACGTTGCATTGACTTCTTAGTACTTCTAGAAGATACTAGCAACGTTTGGACCAGGCTGCGCATTGGTGGGTGTCGATTGTGCTGGTCTGTCAATATCTTGATAGCTTCTTTGTTGTGTTGTAGGGAACACTGAACCAGTTTGCATGCTGCCTCCGCGTGAATTGAATTCACGGTAGAGTAAAATAACGCTCACCGGGCGTACAAGCAAATTTATTATGGAGAAAGCAACTGCCCAGCCATCTGTTAAAATAATTTAGATTAATATGTAAATAATTAAAAAGTTTAAAGATAAAAACGTTTTGTTGGTTATCAAGACTTACTCATGTAATGGAAAAATAAGATTATGCATACTAAGTCGAAAAAGATGCTACTAATGTTTATTACGAGCGCCTGAAAATACAATGAAAAATAAAATAAATTTCTAGCATTTAATGAATGATATATTATTAATTTTAAAATATAAATACTATAGTTTATGAGTTTAAATACAAATACTACAATGACAGAATTCATACATAAGCTGTAACGTCAAATATTTTTAACGATATTCGAGATACTCGTGATATGTTGTTCGGATCTAGAGGTTATACCTCTACAAGCTATATACCTCTACTAAGTAGAAGCTATATTTTCACAAATCTGCTTTACTGCTGTGAGACTAAATCTATACAAATTTGAAGCAAGGGGAAGTTAATTCTACAAATCAGTTATTAAGTGAGTAAAGGTTATATCTCCACAAGTTTCCAGTAAGAGCTGGAAGTGAGTAGAAGTTATATCTCTATAAATTTCAAGTAAATAGAAGTCGTACTTTTACAACTTACACTTAGTACTACTTAGTAGGTTTGTTGTTAAATAGAGGTATTACTCTATACTCTTACAAATCTGCTTTATTTTATATCTAAAAGCTTCAAATAATTGGAAGATATACTCAGCACACTTTCTTACTGAATAGATGTTCTACATCTGCATCTCACTGAGTAGAATTTATATTTCAATACGCTTTTAGTAAGTGAAATTATACTCCAAAGGATTTGTTTTTTACTGAGTAGTATATTGAAGTTATATTTCGAAAAATCTACTTTTTAGAGAGTGTAGAGGCTTCTTTTCAGATATGCCTCCAGAGGCTACACAGTAAACCAACGCTCATCTTCTAAATAAGTAATTCAGTATTTCAATGTACCTAATAACCAGAGTTCGGAATGTGGTGCACAAAATCGCACACTGCACTGTGCGAGTGGAAATTGTTTTTAAAATATGCACACGCACATTTGTGGTGTTAAGAAAAAAAATGCACGCACTCAAATTTGTTGTGCGATTTCAAATTTCACATCGCACAAAGCAATGATTGTGCACACAGATTCGTCCACACACATTTGTGCTGTGCGACTGATTTACAAAAATGTGCACAATCAGATGTGCGAGAAAATTTTATGCTCGCACCGCACTGTGCGACAAAAAATTCTCTTTGCACACGAGTGTGCTGCTCATATTACGTTTGCACAAATGTGCACAAATGTGCGACTGCACAAACGTGCACAAATGTGCACAAATGTGCGGTTGCACAAACGTGCACAAATGTACGATTTTGCGCTTGCACCCAAGGGTGGAAAAAAATTACAGGAACTTCACAATTTTGTTTGAAATAGAAAATATTATATTGTTGCAAATTTTGAAGAAATTGATATTTGCGTTCTTTGGGACTGTAACTTATATTAAAAATTGCATAAATTAACAAATATTTAAAATAATTATTTTTGTTAAGTAATGTTAACTAAAAATTATAACTGTCTTAACCTTATTTGTATTTTAACTTAAAATATCAGTTTTTTGTATATTACTTTGTGCATTTTTAAATGCAAATATAGTAAGTGATCTTAAAGTATTTGTTTGGAAAGTTTTGCACCAGTTTAAAAGAAATAAAAACATATTTTAGGAAATTTTTTTTATGCCCAAAAAATATGTATTTACATAGGTAGAGTATCTAACTTTTATTAAAAAACACGAAAGATTAGGAAAATATTTTTTTTGAACAGGTAGCAGGTATTGGTATTGGTGTATTTGTTTAATAAAATTTGCAACAGTTTAAAAAAGATAATACAGGAGGGCCACAAATAGATATTTTTCTTCTCCAGAAATATGTATTCACTTAGGTAGAGTATCTAACATTCATTAAAAAACGCGAAAGATAAGGAAAATATTTTCTTGAACAGGTAGCAGGATTTTAGCGCCCTTTCTACTGTGCTAAGTAACCAAAGATATAATTTAAGTGAAAAAAATATTTCAGCAATGTTATTAATAAGATTAAATGAAAATTTACTTCAAAAAATATGTAATAAAAATTATATATTTTTTAATAAGAAATTAAGATATTAAATTATTGAATTATTTCAATAACTTCGTTAAATTTAAGCTGTAATTAAAGATA